TGTGTCGTTGCGGGCGTTCTGGTGTGTTTGGCTGGCCGTGGGGTAGTGGCGCGGGGGGGGGAGGTTTACACAACGTGTAAATTGTTTAGACATGGGCAAACATCTGAGTAAACAATTTAATATTCTAGCAACCAGGTTCTGTTTGCATAGATTTGTTGCATGAAAGCCCTTTCACGTCCTTCTAAATATGAATCAACTTTTATTTCAGATATAAATACTGTTGCGTTATTGCCATTTTCTGTAAAACAGATAATATACAATTAATTGGATAATCATGTGATACAAATGGAAGTCACAAGGAAAATTCAAGAAAGAGAATGAAAGAAATGTGCGTTTTTAGTTGGTCAGTTAATGATTTCTGTGCATGCGCAAATGCTGTCAGTAGAGAATGATTTGCTGACCGATATCGATATCGAAGCTTAAAATGTTAAGGTACAGGAAGGTAACCGTTTCTAGAATGGTACTCGTTAATAATTTGAGTGAAAAAGCGCATTTCAGTATGCCAAGCAAACAGATTAATATATATGGACATTGAAAAAGTTGCTCAATGACTTTTCTCTTCGACACTGATCTTCTCTTTTACAAGTTATTTATGATATAGAGAGCACTTTTTGTACAGTTTCAATGAGTTTCACTGAAGAAATTTTAAGGTAGTAGCTAGAGAAATAATTAGTAGATAGGGATCGAGATGTCGTCTGATTCTGCAAGCCTTCCAGATCCCACTGAACTCTATGATTCATAGATTAATCAGAATGAACTCAAAGGAAATAAAAATGAAATGAATAAATATTCACAAAAGGAATGGAAAGATCGTACATTTTTGAATATTTTGATATTTAGACTACATGATGCTTATTTCATAATTTGTCGAGAAATTTTCAGGTATCATATGCAGAGTGAAGATGCGGATCTACTCTCTCTTACTACATTCATAACTACACATTCACACCTTTAATATTGTTAAAAATATTTCGATAAAAAAATGCTGGACTGAACATTATAAATTACGGTTAAATATGTTGTAAGTGCGCACATTCTGACTTACTTGTTGTAGTAGTCATAGGAATAGGTTGCACTGTTGACCTGTTGCTTGTTCGAATAAGAGTTACCGTACTCAAGCCGGATACTATTACTGTGTATGATCCAGTGTTCTGTTCACGGAATGTTGTAACAACCAAGGTATATGTAACATATGGTTGCAGGCGAGATGTGAATTGAAACTGTCCATTGCTACCACTATCATCGTCGGATGTGAGTAAATTCCAATTTGGAAAAGTTGGAAAGAAACTGCTATTGTACAAATAGCCGTACAAATCAATACTACTATTGCTACGAAAAATGTATGATCCAGCCGTCGAAACGGTCACTTCATATGCATCATAGTAGAAGTTTGAGTTTGAGTCACCACCAGGGCGTGAATACGTTTGACTATTGGCGGTCAGTGTTGATGAAGAAGTCGTATTGACTACATACAGATTGGCTATTTTGAAGAGAGAAAAAAATTTTAAATAAGTGACCACCAGTGGACTGCTGTAGCAACCAATGAAATTTATATGACTGAAAAGTTTCTTTTGTTCTCTAAAATTCTATTGTGTTGCTGCATTAGTCCAGCGAATCGTTGGTGATGGCAATCTGGTAAGGAGTATGAGTGTGTGCTAAAAAAAGGAGTGACTTAGGTAGGTATATCCGATAATATAATTTAAATGGTTGACCTAATGAGTTTAGAAAATATAATGGAAAATATAGGGCGACGTTTCATGGTCTGCAAATAATATTAGCAAACAAAAAAGTTACTTTTTCACCTAATACAGATTTTCATGGTTCTGATATGATGATAGGGTCTGGTGAAATACTGGTATTTGGTTGAATTTCATTCTTGGAATCAAAATCAAGCGAAGACCTTGTGATATGTAGTGCGTCGTTTGCAGTGTTCATGAGCTATCTCGATCTGACAGATAGACTACAGATAGGTATGACTCATAGCTTCTTTAACCAGTCTCGATTAGATAACAGTTATCCAAGAAAAAAGAAAGCACCTTTTAAATATATTTCCGAGAATATAATTTCGCCCGGCGAAAAAAGGAAGCCAGGCACTCAATTGAGTAAAAATCCAATTGAAAAGTTTGAATTATATCTATGAAGAAGAGAAGTCACATAAAACGGATTCCGTAGATAAAAGTGTTTAGCAGTTTCTGAAAGAGTTGATTCGTATATGAGGCTGGCATGCTATACTGTGTCAATACCAATGTTTTGTATATCACAGTATTAGAATTAACTTTTTATAATAGTTCATTTGTAGATATCAAAGTTAGCATGTTCAGTAAAGAAAAATCATTTATATTAGTTAGATTACCTGTTGTAGTTGTCGTCGTTGTTGGTAATGTGACTCCAGTAGCTAAGCAATTATAAAATAGACGAACCTCTTGAATATCTATAGAACTTAAATTATCATGTTGTCCGATTGTAACATTTGGTTGAAGCGGTTCGATTGTTGGAAGACCATTAACTGAAAAAGCATCCGTTGAATAGTGCATTATTGATCTATAATCATATGATGTATTCAGAGTATCCACAGCTGTGCTGTTATATTTCTGAAAATTATATTCCATTCTTATGAGAGAATAATAAACAATAATTTATTTCATAATTCTTTTGTATTACTGTGATTATTAAAATCTTTATTACCTTGTTGTATATTAGCGTAATTGACACGTACATAATTATCACGATCTGGTCGTGACTGTTCATGATAGAAGCCTATTTAAATACAAAAAAAAATCATTTACATAATACTATGAATGTTTTTCATATGAGCACTATTGTTTTTATATATTTAACACATTTTCAGTACTGATGAATCATTTTTATGTTCGAAATCATTTCGTGATTTATGATGCACAATAAATAATTTCTTTTCTAGAAGGATATTATAATCAGCGTTTGCATGACTCAATCAAATTTCGATGTACGCTGCTCTTATTTGAAAATTACATCTTGGACTTGATAATGGAATTGGTTTGAATACGATAGCAAATATTTGCAAAAGAAAATGTAATATCATTAAATATTTGTGTATGAGTGTTCGTATTTGTGCATCATAATCGCTTTCTTCTTCTGCTAAATCAATACTGGATACGGTGTTACTTTTTTTTTAAAATAAAAACAGCTCCTTCTCAATGCTGCATGCTATATAACTTTTGGTTCTTTATAGATTCACACAAGAATCTTGGAATTAAAGTGTTACCCTTAAGACGCAAAAGGGTTTACATTTCATAGTTCTTCATTAAGTAAAAAAATTGGCTAACTTTCATTGTGATCAATCCATTATCTATAACCTACAGAATCAAAGTCAAAATTTTCTTCAACTCAAATATATTTGTCAGAAATTTGCTTTTCGAAAATCAATCGTTGAGGTACTGTAGGACGAAGCTACTAAAATACATTCATGGTAATCACAATTAGTTTTTTTGCATTACAACATTATGAAGTTTTTTTATGCTAGTTCTGACTTTTGCCTTTATTTTTTGTATCATAGCAATCGAAAGTAGTTAATCTTTTGTCTGCTGAGAAATCATGAAAACTTACTGAAACATGACTTAGTATAGCATCTTTCCCATTTAAGAACATCACATCAGAGATATTGAGAAAAATCTATCGTTATGAATCCGTAAAGTATGATCTACTTCACTCAAATGGAACCCTATAACTCCACTTAAGAGACGATATTCCATATCTGAAATAGCTCAATATATTCAGATTTTTTGTACGCTATCTGTTCCCAGATATCATGAAAAGATTCTCGAATCTATTCAAATATAATCCTAGCAAAATAAAAATTTCAATTAGTCTTTCCATTGTCTAGTGTTCTTATGAATTTTTTCTTAAACAGCTGTAAAGCTTGAAATAAAAGAATTCCTGTTTGAGAAGTATCCGTTTTGAAAGTAAATCCTTCCATATACTTGATTTTATTGTGTCTACAACTTAAACAGCAGATATCCAATTCTGTTGTTCGTATTTATACAAAAGTGTCAATATAACCTGTATTTTGTAGCGATAAGTTTTCTGATACCATCGGAACCGGTCTCCACAAGAATCTAACTTCAAGTATTAAAATATTTTCATTTCTAGTTCCAATATTTCTTCAAATTTTTAATACAGATACTCTTAAAACACATTTAATACAATTACCTAATGTATGTAATAATTCATGCATTATGATACCCTCTTCTATACAACCTGGATATTGCAATGTTACTCTATGGATAATACTGATATTTATTTGCTGTCCAACCTAATCAAATAAGAAGATATAGTTTCACGGCGTATTTATTTGATATGTAATTTGCTTATCCATGTACTTACATAAGATGAACAACCGAAACCGTTCGTAATTACAATGTAATACTGATCAGATGAAACTCTTGGTCGAAACTCGATACAACGTACGTTATTGACCGCTATGAGGCGTTCCATTTTATGCATTGTGTTAACAATAAGTTCTTCCACTGCAGCATCTTCAAGTGAAAAGAAAAGAAATATTTTCTGACTTCCTACTAAATCATATTGAGAAGCAAATTTATCCAATAAGTGATTTTTTCGAATAACTGTTCCTATGAATAAAACAATATTTACGGTATCCTTGTGCAATTTCATAAGGTACAATTCCATTGGGCCACCGTACATCGTCACCACTACGCGCTACTCCACGCTTCAGATTTTTTGAAAGAAAGGTAATACATTTCATTAGAAAAAAAAACTTAGATGATATGCTTACTGTCAGTTGTTGAGTTGGTGTCGAAAAGACCATGTCACCCTCAAATAGATCAGCTAAAAGATAAAGAATAAAAAGCTGTATGTAAATTACAGTAGATTTCATTTCAAAAGATTTTATATTCTGCATTTATTGTCTTCTCAAATCATGAGAGTTGATTTCTTTATTTAATGTGTCGTTGGTGAATCCACTATCCATTGATCACATTGGAAGTGAAACATGAAATTTTCTTGACAAACTTTTAAAAACGTCTGCTTCACGTGCAACTTTTTAATACACAACTTGATTAATGTGAACTAAACTAGTATATAGATTTCTGACAACGACGAAATAGATTAGTTTAGTCAACTCGATATAATTGTAGGCTCTATTGAAGAATCGAGAAAGCAATAGGTGATATTATGTTTTAAGTTTTAGTTTATGATTTTGTACACATGAATCACCGTTTACTATCATCGGAGTATGTTTTATGTAATAACTACGAATGTTTCAATACAATAGAAACCAACTACAAGTGTGTTACCGTGGACTTTTGGCAAAACTAGCTTGTCAGATGCAACACATTTGAATCGGTGTCTCATTCATATTACGTAAATATATTTCCGAAACTAAAAATATTTTTGCAGTTACTACTTGATTTTTTCCTGTTCATTTAAAATGATAGATTTCAAAGGCTTCATGTCGAGCAATTGAATTACAGGTGAGAGCTGATATATCAGATCTTCGATACATTTTTGTGCAACGACTTGTATTATTTGTTAAGTACGGTGTAAATGGGTGCGAGTATGCATATGGTCTACATGCATCCACACCCTCATTTTTTCTGTAAAAATTCCGGTTTTTGTAAAATTTCTAAAAAACATTGGGCACAACACTTTTCTAGTGTGGGGAGTTTCTTCACTTTCACATGAAAAGATAACGCTTATGTTTTTAAATCTGTCTCTATCCAAAATTGATACTTCTAACTGGCAATATAGTTCGATGCAAAATGGATTCTACTCTCAAGCTTTGATAAGCAAACAAAAATACCGATAACATGAACTTATACCAATGGATTATGGACACGAAAACGATTATCACAGATTCCTCGATATTTGGTATTGTCGAATAAATCTTACGCGAATTCAGAGAAATATGAGCGTTAAACAGTAAAATTCATGTATATGAAAAACTTACGATTCTCGTACGGCTTGTTCCATTTCAATGTATCGTTCTTGATGAAAAGAAGAAAACCCAATGTAGTTTCTGGACTATCTACTGTAAAACCCATACTCACTTTTGATATTGAAAATCCATTGATGAAAGAAAATAGCATAAGATTTATTGTAATAAAAAAATAATTGTTCATCATCGTTTTCATTGCATTAAAATGGACACTAAATGTTTCGAGTGTAAATCTGAAAATAATATCCTATTACAATTGTACTCGTTCACGACCTCTTACCAAAATAATCTAGGTTCTAAAAACTTAGCAAATATTGGTATTGATATGGATTTTCTTTTCATCTACACTTTCACACCCACATAATAATAACTCTAATGCTCACTTCATCAGTCGAAAACCACAACTATGTCGAATTATCTACTCAATTCCATACTCGTTTCAGAACTCATAATTCATAAAAATAAACTCGATAGAATCTATTGATGTAGTGGAATAAAGCTGTCTTTTATTTTACTGTCTCACTACGTTGAGCATCCTGTTCTTAGAACAGGACTTTCGAACAGATTCTCATTTCTGTGTCTCGTGATTCTGAGCATAGAGAATTAATAGATGGATATCACTCTTCAAAATGATGATTATGTACTTCTCAAATGACAGTATTCCAGAGTTACAATAAGATATTAATCGTATACGAAGTCAATACGAACACATCGCTACCCAATTTCAAAGAAAAGGAACACATATATTTGCAAAATGGTTATAAGTATAATCGAATATCGATGAAGACTGACCTGACCTAAAAATATTAAACAAAATCTATAAAAAGTGTTTGGAGAACTTTCATATATAAAGAAAAATTAAAAATGGCTAAATGCAACCCTTCACCTCAGCATGATGATCACTTATACTTTTACTCATAAATTTCATAAAAAGGTGCATTACCGACAGTCAATAAATATTTCCTTTTCTTAATTTACGTGCCATATTCTTTTGGCTTCAATTCATGATATTACTCAAATTTTTCGTATATAAAATCTCGCATTTCAGCATCAAGCATAAGTCAGAAAGAAAAATATTTATCGGAAGCATATATCAGTATTTCTACATAGATGATTCATATATGGATCAAATTATTTATGATATTTTCATCGGCAGAAAACAAGTATGTGTAAATATGAGGAAGGAAGAGAATGCCATGATTTTCTGTTAAAATCAATATTTTGAAGAACTTTTGGAAGAGCATTATATACAAAAGTTGAAATGCGTCGAATACAAAAACAAAAACTTTCTTCCATCAGTTCACAAAAGAAAAGTTTATTCAAGTCATCTAGATAAATAGTTGTTTAGGTGTACATGCAATATTTGCATAAGCTTTACAATAACTGAGTTACTTCGGGTACTTTTTCGAAGTTTAGTTTTGTTAGTAGCACTATTCTTAAGGTGAAATTTACAAGAAACTTGAAAATTATTGCAGGAAAAGCATAAATGCATCGTATTTGTGTATCAAAATGGCCAAGAATATAATTTCGTTTTATTATTACTTATCTGTATTGCACACAACCAAGTTTACCTTCGGTTTGTTTACGACACCTCATCCTATTACAGCAACCCGATAGTCACTAAATTTATTTATCAAAAACTGTATCCAACCGGGTTTTTGACAACGAGCCATAAAAAGGGAGTGGGAATGGGTATACATCTTCAATACAACCACACCCACACCCATCTTTATTGGACATGTTCCATTATTTTATGATGCATGAGAATCTGATCAATTTTCGAGTACTCATATGCAGTGGGCAAAGTATTTCGATAGAAGCTTCTGGTGACGTGTTTCATTATTTTATGATGTATGAGAATCTGACCAATCCTTCAGTACTGCTATAAAGTGAGTATAATATTTCAATAGGGTGTGGGTGCGGATGTGGGTGTACAGGGGTTATGGGTGCGAGTGAAGAAGATATCAAAACTTCATAGACGCCACGCATATCCATACCCAAATGTGGCCTAGTTGCTTCTCCGTGTGGCAACACATCGCTTACCCATGTTTGGGAAGCCTTAAAATCACGAAGTGAGGAATGCTGCCTCAATAGATGGAAGTGTGCTATGAACAGATTACCAAACGTGTTGCAAGCTATCAGGGTAATGATACAAACTCCACTTTTTGATCCGACAGATCTTGAAAAAGAGATTTATTGATCAGTTTCGTGGCTGTGAGTGTGGATGTGAGTCTTAGTGTATACAAGAGTTCATGTACACGTACAAGCACCCACCCACACCGATCCAGCAGACCTCTAGTAGTTTCAGAAACCCGCTCTGATGCAGGCTGATATTCAGCGAAAACAAAATATTAATGAAGTAATCGGATGAATCTATTGAGTACTTTGATAGCATCTCAAAAATCAATTTCATATTGTTTTCATCAATCGTTTGTCTTTATATAAAGATAATCTAGAAGAACAATTAATAATGTGAATACAGGTAGACATAGTATCAACTTTCTATGTATAGTAGGATTATACCAGATGCCTCTTCGTCTACAACGAATTTTAAAGCTACCACTAATCCTCTAAACATCAATAAAAATGCGATCGTGATTTGATTTCGCTTTAACCTAAGCAACAATGGTGTCAATATCTTTTCGTTGTTTCATTTTTTCCTCTTCAGGTAAGTGTAAAATCTATCATTGTTCTATTCATCGAACGTTTTGTTGTTGATTTAGTTCGTTGATGGCCCAAGTGAACTCTCAAATATGCCACGGAGTATCTCAATATGGCCGCTGTTCGTCGAATAGTGCGTGTGGGTGTCTTCATATAGAAGATGCCTCGGACATGGGTGTTTGTGGCTTTCAATGGGTTACGTGCTCTGAGTTAGTTTCATGCGAAGAAACAGATAATTATTGTCGTGAACCAGACCATGTCTGTGTCCATCATCCTTGATGTCATGATCTTCCTGTTTGTTATCCAGTATCGATGATTGATGCAAAAATTTGTCCACCAATGAAAAGTAAGAAAACAGATACTAATTCGTCTAAACAGCCACATGAATCACACATCTTTCTTGGAATACTTTTCTCCATTGTTCACATCAGCTGACATTTGCAATTCACATGTGGCTAAATAAAGTACGTGAAGTATGGCAAAGGATGACGAATTTTAATTCATATGCAACGGTAGAGAATCTGAGGACTCATTAGAGTCACAGACATTGAATAATTAGTCATTCTCTTCTAATAAATCAGGCAGAATCTGTCGGTTGTTTTTTTTATAAGAATAAACTAAGTCTTTCAAATTTGTCTATCGAAAATAACTTCGATTGACAACTACTGCACAAAAAACTTGTATCTAAATATCTGTTTCAGTCCTAATGACTAAAAGGAAGAAAGTTCATGTAAAAGTAGAAGTGAAAAAAAACTATTGATAAATGATTTTATTATTAATTAATTAAAATAAAGTAGGTTTATTTTTCCCACTTTTTTGACTTTCTAAAATACTTTTATGTACTAGACAAAGTTATAAAATATTACTTTAAAGACTTTGTTAAATCCTTTTTTATATTCTTCTCCATAGAAAAAGTAACTGAAATGACTTTAGATACTTTTTGAAGTACTATCAAGTAGTTTTCATTAATGATGGTGCCAGGATTTTTCATTACGTTGAAATTTAATTTCTGTGCATGAGCCCGTGACGAAACTCATGAAGAATGATATCTGACCTAAACGATGAACGCTTAGACAAGGATCTCGTGAATAGAGTTTGCGGAAAAATTTAGTATATTCATCCAGTCTTCTATATATTACTTTTGCTCTTAGTAGTATTCAATTTGTTAGAATCTCATAGTCAGTTATATCAAATTTCATTGAAACATTTCAAGTTTCACCGAAACATATACTACCGTTCGAGTGGTATAACATTTCGAATTTTAGCTACATACTAACAGAATTTTCTCAAAAAATTCGAAGTGCTATAACTCTCGATCCGTTGTATATTTTTAGGTGAAATTTGAAATTTCTCGATGAAAGAGTTTCTAAAAAATTAAATATTTCTAACAGCAAAAGTAGTATATAGGTGGCAGCATGAAAATGCTAAGTTTTTTCGCAAACTCCAACCACAGGGTCCTTTTACGAAAGTTTACCGTTTCGGTCCGGTATCATTCTCTATGAATTTCATGTAGATCCCATGCTCAGAAACAGAGGTTCACCGTAGTGAAAAACCCTGGCACTGCTACTACACAGTGCTCATGTCTATGTAGTAATTAATATTACTTGTTCTACTTTTCGATGTACTTTATTCTACTTCGACCAAATACAGAAGTACAGAAGAAAGTTTTATTATTTTGGGTGTGGGTGTGGTTGTGGGTGTGGGTGGGTG